CTGCACTTTTCTCCCTGCCCACCCCTCCCCACCAGCTCGCTTCCCCCTCCAAAGAGAAAAAGAAAAAAAAATTCTTTCATTAGTATACAATTCCCACGTCCCTTCCACCCACCTCCCACCCCGAGTACACTTCTCTATGTAACCTTAATTCTGGATTCCTGTGCTAACCATAATACTCAATCATATATCACTACTAATCTGTTCTTTCCCTCATCTGTTTCAATATAATATGCATAATTTATCCAGTTTTTTGTGTTACATATTTTTAAAGACATAATGTATCTCATAAGCCACAAATAGAAAGCCCGGAGAACAGAGAAAGGTCATGTCTCAGTATTTTAAAATGATAAAATTGGGACATGAACTTCAAAAACTTCCTTTACATAGGGAAAAGAAAAGCAACAACAACAATAAAAATACTGTTTCAGTAGAAAAAAAGAAACAGAAATATATTTTTTAAAAAAAGAAAAAAGTTGCATAACACAGACATACTGCATGCTCTCTTCATGCAATTAAAATCTTACTTTGTTTCATGTAATGTTCTTTTCCTAAACCGAAGAGGTGCCATATTTGGATCTGAAAGGATATGAGTGCTTTGTTTCCCATTGACTACATTTTGTCCTGGATCACTGATTACAGCCCTGTTTTAGAAAGCACAAAGTGTGAGAATTAATGTGTTGCTCCAGTATTCATATCTTTTTTTTATGTAGTTGGAAAAGCACTTACATAAAACATAAGTTTATATTATTATTAGATGTAACGATGTCAGTTTGAAGACTAGAGTACCTGATTCAACCCATAGTCTTTTCAATTGGTACACAGCTGAAAATTGTTCAGTGAATAAGGATAGCATGAGAAGAACTGATATTTTTTAGTATGGTGTCAGAGAAGAGTGCTGAAAATCCCACAAACTACCAACATATAAATATGTCTTGGAAAAGATGCAACCAGTGTGCTCCTTGGAGGCAAAGATAGTGGAACTTTGCCTCACATACTTTGGCCATGTTGTTAGGAGTGACCAGTCCTTGGAAAAGGACATCACGCTTGGAAAGGCAGAGGATCGGCGACGGAGAGAAAGACCCTGAAAGAGATGGATTGACACAATGACTTTAATGATGGGCTCAAGTATTTCAGAGATGGTCAGGGATGGCTGGCACAAAAGACGGCAGGGTTCAAGATCATTGTCATAGGGTTCCTATGAATTTTTAACTAACTAACTTAATATTCAGATCATATTTTTAACAGACATGAATCAATTAAGCTATTAAAATATTAACCATAAAAAAGTCAAAGTCTAGGTATTTTTTTATAAGTATTACCTAAAACTAAATTGAAATTTGGAGACAGCTAAGAGCTTCATGTCTTTATTTTACCATTCTGCCTAGTGGTAAGAATCTGTGCTACAATACCAAAGGAACACAGTTCAAATCCACCAGCTGCTCCATAGGCGAGGGATGGGTAACCTCCTCCCCTGTGATTAACTGCCTCTGATGCTGGAGCATCAGCTGTGGGTGAATTCTGATTTGATGGTACAGAACAACAACAAATTGAAAAATGCTTTGCTGGTTTCTGATACTATTTGGGTGGTGGAATAACAACAGTTATAGCCGATTCAATGACTGGGAAAATTGGGATGGGAGTGTCAGAGACAGTGCGATTGGCACAGGATAGAGGGGAGTTTAGGGCTGTTGTACATGGGGTCGCTATGAGTCGCAGGCGACTCAACGGCACATAACAATAACAATAACAATAGTAAACTAAGGATATAAAGTAAAAGTTGTTGTTGTTAGGCAGTGTCAATGTGAGTATGATTCATAGTGACCCTACAAAATCCAACCTGAACCCTGCCCTATCCTGTGCCATCATCATCATCATCATCTCTGACACACTCGAGTCCTATGTTGAAATCATCGTGTCAATTGATCTTATTGGGGGCTTCCTCTCCTTCACTGACCCTCCATCATTCCAAGCATGATGTTCCTTTCCAAGGTATAGCCTCACCTAGCTACAAGTCCAAAGTTTTGCCATCTTTGTCTCCAAATAGTGTAGAAGAGGATGCACGTAAGCTCTGGAAAAGAAGAGAGTTCATCAAAGACATCTTTGAAGAGGCAACACTACATTGACTTGAAGAATAGAAATTAGCTAAGAGCCAGAGTAATGATATCCCAGACTGAGGAACAATAGAGGCAAGAGTGTGAATATCTGACAGAAACAGCACACTTGAGGAACTGTACAGTGAATGAGAAAAATTACAGACTGAGTTAAAATGTAAGTCACTTGACTCTAGACCTCAATAACCTCAGTTCTAAAATAGAGGTAATGATGGTACCCATGTTGTCGTTCTTGTTAATTGCTTTTGAGTTGAGCATGACTCATAGTGACTCTATGAACAAAAGGCCCAAAGCCCCTCTACCACTATCAACCTTTATCAAAGTTAATAGAGTTTCGGGAGGCATGTTATTTAGGAAGTGAATGCCACTCCTGCTTCAAATATGTCATTCTATATTATTATTTTTATGTGCCATTGAGTTGGCTGCAACGTATAGCTGTATAGCTGTATAGTTGGCTGCAATGTACAGGAGCTCTGAACCATTCTCTGTCCTGAGTCAGTCTCATTAACTCCGAAACACCAACCCCTATTGCCCCAGTCACTGTATCAACCCATCTCAACTGGGATCTCATTCCTGCACTGTCAATCCACCCTTCCAAGGATGATGTCCTTCTCCAAGGACCAATTGTTCCTGGCCACATGCACAAAGGGGCAGAGCTTCAAAATCCTACCCACCAAGGAGAGATTTGGTTTCATGCTCTCCAAAACAGACCAATTTGGTTTTTTGGCCATCCATGATATGTTCAAGACTTCTCCAGCACCACATCTCAAAGGCATCTATTCTTCTTCTGTCATCCTTAGTCATTATTGACCTCTCTGAATCATAACAAGTAATTAATTGAGAATACGATGGCCTAGATTAGGCACACTTTTGTATTTAAACTGACATCGTTGCTCTTCAGCAATCTGGGGAGGTCCCTAACAGTAGATTTTTTTCCTACTGCAATTTGTCTTTTGTTTTCCTGACTACTAGTATTAAGTGTTGATTGTGGATCCAAGTAAGCTGTAATTGTTAACAACCACTCTTCTCCATCTGATATAGTGCTGCCAATTGGCCCAGTGGTGAGAATCTTTGTCTTGATGCTGAGCTTCAGTCCATATTGCAGACTACAGTCCTTGACCTTTTGCAGTAAGTGCTTCAGGTCCTCCTCAGTTTCAGCAAGCAAGGTTGTGTCATCTGTACATCATAGGTTGTTGATGAGTCTTCCTCCAATCCTGATGTAACATTCTTCCTCAAAAAGAATCTTTTCACCGTATTAAATCAATCTGTATGCTGAGCAAAATGTCCAAAAAAGTAGGCTAAATGAAGCTCAAGGAACTGAAGAACAAATTGAAACCTCGAGTTTCTATAATCAAGGATGCTTTCAGCAGAATATTAAATCATCCAGGAAGTATTAAAAGAATATTTGAAGAATATACTTAGCTACTGTATTGAAAGGAATTGGCAGACATAGAAGAATTTCATGAAACAACATATAGGCAAGAGTCTCCGGTAACAAATGAAGAAGTTCAGGCTGCTTTGAAGGAAATAGCAAAAAATAAGGCCCCAGGAATAGATGGTATATCAACTGACATATTTCAGCTAACAGACGCTGCCCTGGATGTGCTCACCAAGTTGTGCCAAGAAATGTGGAGACCAACCACTTGGCCAACTGACTGGAAGAGATCTATATGTGTTCCCATTCCAAAGAAGGGTGACACCACAGAGTGTGGAAACTATAGAACAATCTCATTGATTTCACATGCAAGCAAGATTCTACTGAAGATCATCCAAAAACGACTGGAACAGCACATTAGCAGAGAACTCCCGGAAGTCCAGTCTGGATTTAGAAGGGGTCGTGGTACTAGGGACATTGTAGCTAATATTAGATGGATTTTGGCCAAAAGCAGGGAATACCAGAGGAATGTCTATCTGTGTTTCATTGACTATGCAAAGGCATTCAACTGTGTGGATCATAACAAACTGTGGCTGACTCTGAGACAGTAGTCAGAACAGAGCAAGGAAACACCACATGGTTCAAAATTGGGAAAGGATATGTCTCCATGCAAATAATACCTAATCATATATTCCATTTAAGCAGTTCTCTCCCTCATCTGTTTCAACGTTCTGTACATTATTAATCACCTCTTTTCTTAGCTTACTTCAAACCCCAATGTCAGTCCTGTTTTATAACAGCGGCATCATGCAGTATTTGTTCTTTAATGACTGAGATTTCACTCAGTACAATGTCCTCCATGGTCACCTATTTTCTATAATATTTCATTAACACCTTGTTTTTAAATGCTGTGGTGGTGGTGTATACCGTCAAGGTGGAACTGTTCCATATCTGACCCTCTGGTGGGTTTTAGAGGCAGTTACTCACAAGAGAGGAGATTGTATATCCTCCTTTGTAGCAGCTGGTGGCCTTGAACCACGTGCCTTCAGTATTGCAGCACAGCTTCTTGCCACTAGGCCACAAGAGCAATCAGTCTTAAAATTGAAAAACGTGAATCCTCCAACTTGCCATTCTTTTTAAGACTGTTTTGGCTATTCAAGGTCCCTTGAAATTTTACATGAGTTATCTTTTTCTTTTTGCCAAAAAGGGGCACTGTGACTCTGATAAAGATTATGTCGAATCTTTAAGTCACCGTAGGGAATACTGCATCTTAAAGACATTATGTATTCCAATCCATGAACACAGCACCTCTTTTCATTAATTTACATTTTCTTTAAATTTCTTTCTGTAGTGTTTTGTAGTTCGAGGTGTATAAATCTTATCTTTTTCTTTGGTGATATATTTCATTTAATGAAAACACAATGACACATTTGTTATTGAGACAAAAACACATTTGTCTTATATCACAGAAACTATTAGTTTAAGATAATTTATAGTTTCAACATGAGATTATGCTATAATTCCTCAGAAATGTTGTATATTTGCAAAAATAGGTGGAGCTTTTCACAATTGTGATAAGAAGCAAGTATCATGTGAAAAATCAATACAGAAAACTAAGAGAATGTTGCAGTATTCTAATGATTCTGGGGTTTGAGAGACAGTGTAATGTTCAAAAGGAGAACATATTCCATTATTAAGTAATTTTGGTTAATTAAGAATAATATTTTAAATCAATTTATGAGAACTACTTTTGCAAGCAGCTGTTAAGCTATTAGGAAATAAATGGCTATGAAGCTGTTTAGGCCTAAATACATGGATCCGCTAGGTTTTTTATTGACCTGGGAATTATGTGGTAGGAAAATAATTTGTAAGACTGTAAACAGAAAATGCTCAGAAATCCCTGAGTCACTTGTTGACATATGTGAGAGCCACACATAAAAGCAAGAATTTTTTTTTTAATTTCTATATGGATTTTGAAAGAGAGAGAGAGATCAGCTGGCCCAGTGAAGAGAAAACGATGTGACCAAGACAAAGGTGGGTGACTTTTGGTTTGCAGCCCTCAGGCCAGTCTTTCATTGTTTTTGTTCAGACATTCCTCTAGGTCATATAGCCCTGGTGTACAAGTTGCCGAACCGTGGTCACTTGTGGTTGCTGTGAGGCTAAACATCGTGACACGGATGTGTCAAATGCATTAACGGTTGGCTACCCAATGCGGACTGAGAATGGGGTGGAGCTCCCCGATTAAACAAGTGTGGAAGGAGGAGTGGCATCCACTTCCATAATAGCTTGCCTCTGGAAACCCTATGAACTTGGAGAGAGGATGAAAGGCACCCAACCGTCAAGGACTCGCCTTCATAGGGTAGCTATGAGTCGCCTGAGACTCGACAGCACTTAACAACAACAACAACATATGGATTTTGATAGTCACTTACTAATACTTACCTAGATAAGTGATCTATCATCACTTGCTCAGCAACAGTTTGTTTCTTCTTCTCGGCCGCCACAACTTCCTGAGTAGGAAAATGAAAAAATGAAATACCACTTTTCATAGAGAAGAACAAAACAATATTTAATATAGGAGTTATAGAACACTTTCATCTTAAAAATATATTTTCACACTTAAAGTATATTGAAATGCTCTAATGGTACAGTTCATAGGAAATTATATGTCTAACCCAAAGGCCACACCTCTCTGCAAGTTCAAATCCACCAGTCCCTCCGTGGGATAAAAGTGGTAAATCTTCTCCTGTGCATTTAAATCTTCAGAAACGTAGAAAAGGTCTGAGTTAGTGTCCACCTGATGGCAATGAAAGAGTATCAAACTTAAAACTCAACTCATTGTCAAGTCAGGATCAATTCATAGTTGGCCTTCCAATGAATATCCAGGGGATGCAAATCAAATAGGAAATTGGAAATATTTCTCTTGTGGAGGAGCGTTGGACATTACTGAATTACACAGGCAATATTAAAACATATAGTTGTTGTTGTTGTTGTTATGTGCCATCGAGTCGTTTCCGACTCATAGCGACCCTATGCACAACAGCTCTAAACCCTGCCCTATCCTGCGCCA